TTTTTGACAAGGTCTTGCTCTGTTGCCCAGACTGGAGTACAGTGGTGCAAACAGGGCTCACTGCAGCCTTGACCTCCTGGGCTCAGTGATCTTCCTGCCTCAGCCTCCTGAATAATCTGGACCACAGGCATGTGCCATAATGCATGGCTTCCAAAATACTAGGCTAACAGGCATGAGCAACTGCATCTGGCCAAATTCTTAATTTTTTTTTTTTAAGACAGTCTCGCTCTACCGCCAGGCGCCAGGCTGGAGTGCAGTGGCACAATCTTGGCTCACTGCAACCTCCGCCTCCTGGGTTCAAGCAGTTCTTCTGTCTCGGCCTCCTGAATAGCTGGGTCTACAGGTGCATGCCACCACACCCAGCTAATTTTTGTATTTTAGTAGAGACAGGTTTTCACCATGTTGGCCAGGATGGTCTCCATCTCTTGACCTTGTGATCCGCCCACCTTGGCCTCCCAGAGTGCTGGGATTACAGGCATGAGTCACCATACCCGGCCCAAGTTCTCAATTTTTAAAAACTGATTTTATTATTTTATCTTATTTATTTATTTTTAGAGACAAGGTATCACTGTCACCCAGGCTGGAGTGCAGTGGTGTGACCTTGGCTCACTGCATCTCTGACCTTCCGGGCTTGAGTGATCACTTTGGACCACCGGCACACACCACCACATCTGGCTAAGTTTTTGTATTTTTGGCAGAGATGGGGTTTTACCATGTTACCCAGGTTGGTCTGGAACTCCTGAGCTCAAGCAGTCTGCCCACCTTAGCCTCCCAACGTGCTGGGATTCTAGGCGTGAGCCACCGCACCCAGCCTTTAATTGACTTTAAAATACAAAATAAGGCTGGGTGCGGTGGCTCATGCCTATAATCCCTGCACTTCAGGAGGCCAAGATGGGAGGATTGCTTGAGCCCAGGAGTTCAAGACCAGCCTGGGCAACATGGTGAGACCCTGTCTTTACAAAAAAAAAATTTAAAAATAGCTAGGTGTGGTGGCATGTGCCTGTAGTCCCAGTTACTCCAGAGGCTGAGGCAGGATTGCTTAAGCCCAGGAAGGCAAGGCTGCATGAGCTGCATTTGAGCCACTGCACCCCGCCTGGGTGACAGTTTAAGACTCAGTCTCAAAAATATATATATAAATAAAAATAAAATACAGTATATAAATACAGTCAGAGACCGAATGAAAGAAAATGGCAATAGAAATGGAATTAAGGTTCCATTCCAGATACTCTGAAAACGTGTCTATAGATAATTAAAGTTTAAAAATTCAGGAGCTGTAGTGTATGCTTAAATAACTCCATGAAAGAGAAGGATCTGTTTCCTGGGTAGCATCATAATGTGGTGAATTTTTCCCAGTTCAGAGCCTTGTTTGCTTACAAGTCTGATTTTGTAGATACATCAAGAAAAGGACTATCCTTCAAAGTTAAAGACTCTTGAGTAAAGTTCATTTGACTGATGTGATAGAACTAAGTTGTTGGTTTGTTACTTTCCCATGAGAAATAACTATTAAGGCCAGAATGTTTGCAAGACTAATATATTATCTTACTGTGGATAGAGCTCTGTTGGAACCCTGTTGGTTGTTTGGTGTGCATGGAATTAAAGGGAGATAAGTTGCTTAGATACATGTTAAGAAATGATAGCCTAATGCATTCATCATCATGATGGGAATGGTCCTGCCAGTGGGACAAGAATTTATGAAGTGTATTGTCTTGAGTCTTCTTTCTCCCCACAAATCTAGGATAGGTCCTTCCTCCACCAGCTTTTTTGCTGATCTACCGTTATCTCTTCTGGTGGATACATTGTCCAAGTTAGTAACAGTGTGGTCAGTTTTTTTTTTTTTTTTTTTCTGAGATGGAGTCTCGCCCCGTCACCCAGGCTGGAGTGCAATGGCGTGATCTCAGCTCACTGCAACCTCCGCCTCCTGAGTTCAAGCAATTCTCCTGCCTCAGCCTTCCGAGTAGCTGGGATTACAGGCGCACGCCCTGGCACACGCCACCACGCCCGGCTAGTTTTTTGTATCTTTAGTAGAGACAGGGTTTCACCATGCTGGCCAGGCTGGTCTCAAAGTCCTGACCTTGTGATCTGTCCATCTCAGCCTCCCAAAGTGCTGGGATTACAGGCGTGAGGCACTGCACCCGGCCGGTCAGGCTTAGAGTTAGCCTCACCCTTCTGTTTTGTCTTCTCAGCTCTATAATATTGATATTGTTACTTGGTTTTAATTCTAATAGATGTCTTATTTCCAAGCTCTTAGAGTAAACCTCAGTGCAAATCCCAGTTATTGACAACAGTATACATTTTAAAAAACATACTGATAACTGGTAAATTGCTGCTAAAATATTTTTTAGCAGTCACTACTTTCCAGAGATAACCTGTTCACCTCTTCCTTACTGGGAAAGTCTGAAGGCTGGTTCTCACCTAGGCAGTGTGATTATCTGTGCATATTGTTAGTAGAATAAAAGGCCCTAGAGTTACGGCATTTCACTTTGTAAAGGTTTCTGATCTCTAATCTTAGAGTTTTTAATAAAAGTTAATTTTTTTTCTATGTGTGATTACTTTTCCTTTCTTTCCTTTCCTCTCCTTCCCTCCCCTCTCCTCTTTCTTCTTTCGTCTTTCTTCTTTTTGACAGAGTGTCATTCTGTTGCCCAGGCTGAAGTGCAGTGGCATGATCTCGGCTCACTGCAACCTCCACCTCCTAGTTTCAGGAGATTCTTCTGCCTCAGCCTCCCGAGTAGCTGAGACTACAGGCACGTGCCACCACACCTGGCTCCTTGTTGTATTTTTAGTAGAGACGGGGTTTCATCATGTTGACCAGGCTGGTCTGGAACTTGTAGTGATCTCAAGTGATTCGCCGCCCATTGGCCTCCCAATGTGTCGGAGTGCTGGGATTATAGGCATGAGCCATTGCGCCCAGCCTCTGTGTGTGATTTCTTTTTCTATCTTCTAATTCACTTTACTAATTTGTTCATAGGTGAGCTACATGGAAATTTACTGTGAAAGAGTACGAGATTTGCTGAATCCAAAAAACAAGGGTAATTTGCGTGTGCGTGAACACCCACTTCTTGGGCCCTATGTGGAGGATCTGTCCAAGTTGGCAGTTACTTCCTACACAGACATTGCTGACCTCATGGATGCTGGGAACAAAGCCAGGTATGGTAGGAAATAGGGTCAGGACTGAGGTCTTTTGCATGTTTTGAGGCCCTTTGTTCCCAGTTAAGGGTTTGAGGCCACATTCATACCTATGAAAGTTGCTTTAATTGTGGAGTCCTCTGATCCATTGACTGTGCTGTAACAATGAGGGCTTCAGCATGTTAAGTATCTTTCTTCTCATCTAAACAGTGCTTTGCTGAAACATGTTAGAGCTCTGGTTAAGTTTTACTCTTCGGTTCTGATCAAGTCGTGGTAAAGTGTTGGTTATGTATATATGTGGCTATGGTGGTAATTGATTCTGGAATAAATGAATAGTAATAAAGAATAAAAATTAAATGCTTCATTGGTTTCTAAAGGGATAGCTGGAGTATGAAAAATGATTCTGATGGGGTGCCTTTGGAATTGGAGAGTAACTTGATGGGCTCACAAATAAGGCAGTATTGAGAGCAATTGTGTAAGTGACAATCTTGCAATCTGTGAATAAGTTTAAGACTATTGCTTGTGATTGTAATGCTTATAATGTGGAGCCTGCTGTCCATTTCAACTCTCATCTAAGAATTCCATTGTCACGTGGTCACTTTTATGTTTATTTAGGACAGTGGCAGCTACGAACATGAATGAAACAAGTAGCCGTTCCCACGCTGTGTTTACGATCGTTTTCACCCAGAAGAAACATGATAATGAGACCAACCTTTCCACTGAGAAGGTAGGAGAACTTCAGTCTCTAGGTTTGAGTTGTGAAGGATGGAGATTTTGAGAAGTCCTTTTTGTTGCCCTCTGCTTTTTGTGAAAGGTTGGGTGCTGGGGGGTGCTCTTTCACTTAATGGAGGGTGTTTTATAGCCTCTGCTTACCATTTTTCTTCCACCCTACACCAGTTTTATGTATAGGTTCTTAAATGAAGATGCAAGATAGAGAATATAGTTAAGAAAAAAGCAATCCAGGACTTTGGTTGTCAAAAACTACTTAATACGAGACAGTTAAGCAGTCTCACAGGAGAAAATTGTTTCTTTTCTTCTTCTTGACTGGAACCTTTTTATTATTACCTTATTAGCTGCCTTTGGTATGCGTATTCTTTTTTTATTTTTATTTTTTGAGCTGTGATAATGTTATAGTGGGATTAAATGTTTAAGCAAGTGATATGTTTTATTCCTGGAAAATAACTCTACAGCAGTTCTGATGTTCTTCAAATACCTTTACTTATTGATTTTTCATTTTCTATAGTGGTTAAATGTCGCAGACTTTACAGCTAGATTGCTTGCGTTGAATTCTGATTCTGCCACTTTTCAGCTATATTATCTTGGGCAAACTACTTAACTTCTTTGTTTCTCAGTTTCTCCATCCATAGCAGCCTGATAGGATTGTTAAAAGGATTAAATATTAATGTAGGTTAAGTGCAAACAATAATGTCTTTCACAGAGTAGCCACTGAATAATGTTAATTTTATTATTATTGTTTTTTTGAGATGGAGTCTCGCTCTGTAGCCCAGGCTAGAGTGCAGTGGCGCGACCTCACCTAACTGCAACCTCTGCCTCCAGGGCCCGGTTCAAGGAATTCTCCTGCCTCAGCCTCCTGAGTAGTTGGGATTACAGGCACACGCCACCATGCTCAGCTTATTTTTTTATTTTTAATAGAGACGGGGGCCGGGCGCGGTGGCTCACGCCTGTAATCCCAGCACTTTGGGGAGGCCGAGGTGGGTGGATCACGAGGTCAAGAGATCGAGACCATCCTAGTCAACACGGTGAAACCCCGTCTCTACTAAAACTACAAAAAATCAGCTGGGCATGGTGGCGCGTGCCTGTAATCCCAGCTACTCAGGAGGCTGAGGCAGGAGAATTGC